TCAGGAGTAGATAGCAACACAAAGGTGTGTACGGAGTATTGGGATGTACCCTATGACCCAATCAATGAAACTATCTTTGGGTACTCCGAGCAACGACTGCCCCTCGTGCTCGAGGTCATCTGCAAAGGGCGACGCCTCCAAGCACTCGTGGACAGCGGAGCGTCACACACCGTCTGCAACAAGGCAGTAATCGACCGACTTCGGGGAGAGTACAAGCCTTCAGGATTCTCTGCAACGATGGTGGACGGCAGCAAGTTACCAGTATACGGCGAAGCAGTGCTACACCTACAAATCGGACCACTGCGCTGGAGACCTGCACTCCCCATCACTAACATCAAAGGACTTGACCTGATCTTCGGGCGAGACTTCCTGAAAATATTCAACCCCGAGATCAACTGGGTAAACCGCACCGCAAGCATCTACAACAATGGACGGAGAGTACAGCTACCCAACTGGGACGATACTGGAGATATCCCAGTGGAGACACTCACACGATTCGAGAAGGACGTGAAGCGGACCGACACCACGTTCCTGGCGATAGCAACAGAGGTGGAGAATGACGGAGAAAAAGCCTCGGAACCTCCAGAAAAAATCAAGGAATTACGGAAGGAGTTCCAAGACATTCTTCCTGACGATCTTCCGAACGAGCTACCGCCATACACGAGATCGTGGAGGAACCGGGTTCGAAGCCGACCTTCCGAGCACCATACCGGCTCAGCCCTACGGAGCTGACTGACATGAAAAAACAGATCGAGTATCTCCTAGCCAAAGGACTCATCCGGCCATCTACTTCGCCATACGGTGCCCCAGTACTCTTCACACCGAAACCGGACGGAAGCCTGCGCATGTGCATCGACTACCGAGCGCTTAACAAGCAGACCATCAAGAATAAATATCCGATACCGCGAATCGATGACCTGCTTGACCAGCTTTGGGGAGCTACGGTATTTTCCAAACTGGATCTGCGGTCCGGATACTGGCAGATACGGATGGCGGACAACTCTATCCACAAAACTGCTTTCCGAACTCGGTACGGATCATACGAGTATTTGGTAATGCCGTTCGGACTCACCAACGCACCAGCAACGTTCCAAGCCGAAATGAACCATATTCTACGACCACTTTTGGACGAATGTGTGGTGGTGTACCTGGACGACATACTCATCTACTCGCGCGACATGAAGCAGCACGTCGAACACCTGCGACGCGTCTTCGAAATTCTTCGACGAGAACGATTCTACGTCAAACAGTCCAAGAGCGAATTCGCCCTTGAAAAGGTCCAGTTCCTAGGACACATGGTGAGCGCTCAAGGAGTTCACGTCGACCCCAAGAAAATCGAAGCCGTACGTACGTGGAAGACACCCGAGAACGTGAAGGAGTTGCAGCAGTTCCTAGGCTTCGCTAATTACTACAACAGGTTCGTGCCACAGTATGCGAAAATCGCAGCACCACTCACGAATCTGCTGAAGAAGAACACGCCCTACAAATGGGAGCCGAAGCACCAGGAAGCCGTGGAGCAGCTGAAGCAGGCACTTACGTCCGCACCGGTACTCATTTTGCCAGATCCCGAACGCGACTACGTCATCGAAGCTGACGCCAGTGACCAAGCAGTGGGAGCAGTCTTGATGCAAGATCAAGGGAATGGACTGCAACCAATCGCTTACCTAAGTAAGAAACTACACGGGACAGAACTCAACTACCCGATACACGACAAAGAAGCCCTTGCCATCGTCATCGCCTTCAAAGCATGGAGATGTTATCTCGAAGGACGTAGAACAACCGTCTACACCGACCACTGCAGCCTGAAATACTTGAAGACACAACCCAATCTTTCCAGGCGGCAGGTCCGGTGGATCGACTTCCTCGAGACACACTTCCACTACGACATCGTGTACAAGCCCGGCCACAAAAATAAAGCAGACGCTCTCAGCCGGCCTGCACAAGTTCTTGTTTTAACAATTCACACTTGGAGCCCTTGGTGATGAGACGGTGCTGCTGCAGCCGCTGAAAAACAGCTTCCAGGTCCTTCAAATGTTGCTCCCGGGTCGTGCTGTAGATCAGGATGTCGTCCAGGTAAATTATCACACATTTGTCGAGTAGATCGCGGAACACCCCGTTCATGGTGAGTTGGAACGTCTAGGGGGCGTTCGTTAATCCAAACGGCATCACTGTGTATTCGTAACTCCTGTAGCGAGTACGAAACGCGGTCTTGTGGTTGTTAGCGAACACCCGAATTTGATGGTAACCGCCGCGAAGGTCGATCTTCGAAAAGTAGCGAGCTCCGCGAAGGTTGTCGATCAGTTCATCCGTGCGTGGGATTGGGTAGCGTGTTTTTATCGTTACCCGATTAAGGGCACGATAGTCCGTACACATGCGAAGTCCGCTGTCCTTTTTTGGGGTGAACAGGATCGGTGCTGCGAACGGTGACGTGCTCGGCCGAATGAACCCTTTTGCCAGCAGGTAGTCCAGCTGGTTCCGTAATTCCTGTAGCTTCGGTTGAGTAGGGCGCCATTGCGTGCGTACAGTAGGCTGCGCGCCGGGCTCCAGCTCTATTTTGTGGTCCTGGGGTCGTTCGGGTGGCAGTCCACTTGGCAAGTCGTCCGGGAAAATCTCTGGATATTCCCGAATGATTTTCGCCAAGTCATCCGGGATCGAAGCGCAGAGTTTGTTGATGTCGGTCGCCTTGTTCTGCTCCGTGGATTCGGTGAGATGGACGGCGTATAAATCCGCTCCATTCTTGACCGCTCGTTTGAGGCACACCGCGTTGACTCATGTTGATGTTGTCTCTGCTTCCAGCCACGTGGGTAATTTTCGCCAGCCTTTTTTGCACTTTACTATGCACTCGCCTGCTGTCCAATCGATCTGCGGATTGAATCTTCGCAGCCAATCGCGTCCCAATAGCATGTCGTAGCCATCCAGCGTTGTCGCCAGCATCAGCGCGCTGAAACCAAAATCTTCGCCACTCTTCATTCGAACGACGGGTACTTTGTCGCGTATCGCCAGGGGGGTGCCATCCACCAATCGCGCGTCGATTTCGGGCAGAGACCTCTCCAGCGACAGGTGTAGTCGTCTTGCTGTCTCTCTATTTATCAGGCTGTGACTCGCACCTCCGTCGATGAATATTTTTATTTTTCGTCCATTGAGTTGTCCCTCCGCCAGTACAGGGTGGTCCACTGGGTCATCCCCATTATTCAGCCGGGAGTGGTTGATAGCATGTATCAGAACCACTACTCGGTGGGGATGGTGTTTTTCGGGCGATCAGGCAGGGTCAGTAGGGGGCCCGACCGCTACTGATGCTTGTCGTTTCCCGACCTGCCTTCGTCGCTCTTCTTTATCTACTTCTTTCGGGGGCAATCGTGAGATTGGTGACCCGGCTGGTGGTAGTTGAAACATTGTCCCTTGCGAAAGTCTTCCATGTGCTCCCTCGCCACTACGCCGTGAATCGTGGGCCGTGGATCCTGGCCACGAAAACGATTTCCCTCCCGGGAACCCGCTCTCGCATACGTCCGATGTGCGTCGAAATTGTCTGCGATCCGGCCGGCTTCGTGAAACGTCGCCGGTAGTCGCAGTCGGACCCCGCATTTAATGTCATGCTTCAGACCCGAAATGAATTTAGCTTTCTTCTCGGAGTCATGCATGTCGGTGATTTGATCGCATAATGCCATGAAGACCGACGCGTAATCGTGGACAGAACTCCACTGTCGCCAGTTGTCCAGCTTCGTGCGTGCGTTGTGCGAGGCAGATATTGGCTCGAACCGTTCACGCAGAGCTGTACCCCACGCCTTTGACGTGCGAATCTTGGTTGATCCAAAAATCGCGGTTGACTCTTGGGCAGCAGACCCAAAGTTTCCGAAAAACCCCTGTGTGTCGCCTGCCGAAAACTCCCTCTCCTGTCGTGTGTATCGCCACCAATCTAGCGCAGGTCCCCGCAGTAGTGATACAGCCAGCCGAATTTTTAAATCGTCAGTCGTGACCCCAGCGGCATTAAAATAAGTTCCGCCGAAAATAACCAGCCCGTAACAGTAGTATTCTTATCTGTGGGGTTGAACGGGGGCGGCATTGTCGGTTTGATCGTCGCTGTCGTCACGATCGGCACTAATGCTGGTGCGGCTACAGTAGCGGCTGCTTCTGACCGAGCGGTTGCTGCTGCTGCTGCTGCTTCGGCTGCTGTGCGTGCTGCCACGTCAGCTGCTGCGGCGGCTTCTTTGTCCTTGCGCTCCTGTGACACCTCACGTGCGATTTCATCCAAGACGGTTTCGATACGTCCGGTGCTGGCGACCTCCTCTTGGGCGGCAGTTTTCTGACGCGAATCCTCTCGCGCCTGGCGTAACTCGGCAACTTCTGCACGAAGTCGCTCGTTGTCCTCCAGCACTGTAACCATGCATGTCTTCATGGCGTTGAACTGCTCCAGAAGCTCGTTGAACTGAGCTTGGTCCATTTGTCGAATGCTCCGCCGGGGCAAGGGGAAATCCGTAATGTGCCTGTACTCAGGTGGGCGCAAACGCTATCGTAGTTGGGCGAATTAATCAGTCTAATTCGCGAGCAACCGCTTTGCAGCTTACGTGAGGGACTTACCCCCCCCCCCCCCAAAAAAAAAAATCAACTCACGAAAACGGGTGAGCGAGGAAATTGGCTGTGAATAGCAGGTGTTATGAATGAACAAGCAGAGTAGCGCGGAAATGAATAACGAGATGTCTAGCCACTGAATCACGATACAAGGAATGGCAAGCCAAGATATAGGAACACCAGAGCTGGTCTAACCATGAGATGGAAAGGTTCGGGAAGGAGATCGAAGGGTCTCGAGTGACGAAGCGAGGCCCGGAGAACTCCCGAAGGTTGAACCAGAAGGTCTGGCGAAGCCGAGGTGATTCTCTCAGAAAGGTCCGGAACCATCCCGAGGCTTGGGGTGTGTTCGAGCGTACGCGATTGCAGTACCGCTCGGTAAGGAATAGAAAATTCCTTACACGTGTCGTGTGCCATGTGTTCATCCCGTCACCCCTGCTCCTCGTCTCTGGAGTGTCCGAAGTAGAGGGAAGGTTTCGGGACGTCGTAGGACCGAGAGTTTATGCCCTCTAACCGTTCTAAAAAAAGCGAATACCGTACTGCATCTTCCTGTGACGTCCATCGACGTCACTAGTCGTTTTACTTCGGACATCCCGTTACTGCTTCCTCTCACCGCACCATGCGCCTGGAAGGCTCTTGCCACTGCGGCGCCGTGACGTTCTCTCTGGAGTCCAACAGCCCGTGCCCCTACCAGGTGCGGCATAGGAACAGTCACGTCTCTCGCGATCCTTGTCCGTTTCTCTAGAATGTTCAGGCTTGTTGCTGGCATCGCGACGACCATTCGCGTGGCCCTCTGTTCCACTCGCCTCAGCCTCGCGAGGGCGAAGTCGCCGTTTCTACTTCGTCGAAAAAATTGTAAACGCGATTTGTAGTAAGGTGCAGCAATGAAAATTATATTTCTCGCTCTCCCTCTCGCTCCCCCCCTCTCTCCTCCACCGTCCCGCGGCGTCCTTCCCCTCCTTTTGTACCAACCCGGTCCTTTTTCTTGGGCCAAAACGGGGGTTCCTCCGAGCTCACAACGGTTGTGTTTGCCCTAACGTGAGCATCCAGAGTTGTTACACCTCTCCTCTTCCCCCTCCCCCCCCCCCTTTTCTATTCCCCCCCACATACGCCACCACCCCCCCAGCTGTGCTACTGCAGCATATGCCGGAAGATGGGCGGGTCGGGCGGGTTTGGCATCAACATAGGCGGCGATGCAAGGACGATGCAGGTGCAGGGGGAGGAGCACGTGGCCACGTACCGCGCCAAGATGAGGGCGGACACGGGCGAGGTGAGGGCGGCTGGGCATGGACGGATGGGGTGGGGTTGTTGGGGGACGCGGGTCTGACTGGTTCGCTGGAGGGATAGTGGCGTGCTGGTTTGATGCACACTTCTGCTGGTTCTCCAGTGTGAGACTTTTGGAATGTCACCCCTGGGATGGGATGCAATCACGCATGGCGGTGAAGGGAGTACACTGGTGGAAGGACTTTACTGGCGCTCTTGCCCCATTCCACCCATTCCCCTCGGTTTCCTGGCTCTTCGTCCCACTTTACTCACCGCACTTAATCCCATGCTCAGGCTGCGTCACAGTCTGTGCCTGCACTTTGTAATCCCTTCTCTCCTTCCATTTCCCCCCCGCCCTCCCCCTTGCAAGGTGACTGAGAGCACGGCACAGCGGCGCTTCTGCCGCGAGTGTGGGTCGCACCTGTGGCTGTACGACCCCACGTGGCCCGCCCTCATCCACCCCTACGCCTCCGCCATTGACTCGCCCCTGCCCGGCCCCCCTGAGCGCACGCACATCATGCTGGGCTCCAAGCCCGCCTGGGTGCAGCCGAGTGTGGGGCCCACGGATAAGATCTTCCAAGGTTACCCTGAGGAGAGCCTGGCGGACTGGCATGCGCGCACAGGGGCCGTTCAGTGACAGGGCTGGCTGGATTGAGGGGGGTGGAACGGGGTTAGTGTGTATAGCAGATGGATGGACTTGTAGGATGGCATGGATGAATGTGGTGTACAGGGCCGGAGCCATGGTTGGTTGGAGGGGCTCAGGTTTGGAAGCAAGTGGGAGGGGAGTAACCTTGCTGGGAATGGACTCTTTCATTGAGGCTAGGAGGCAGGGTGGACCTCGGTGAGTGAGAGACCTCTGCTGTACGTTTTGCAACCAAGGGTGTGCACACTGAGGTTGGGATGGTTTTTCTTTTCAAGAGGCAAGGGGGGGATGGGGGCAGGGCTGATTTTATCACACTATTTTTTTCTGATCGTCTGGAATTTCATACCAATTTTTTGGCGATCCTGATTTTTCAGACTTGCCATTTTCTGAATGCAGAACCCTTCAGAGTTGTACGATTTTGAATCCTGAGTTTTTCAGACTAAGCGGATACTGGATTTTCAGAGTACAGCGCGTACGGACCCTTATCAACTTATACATGTCATGCATGTAGAAGTTATAGGCTAGTATCGGTGTGTGCTCCTAGGGAGTACAACCCCTATAGCTATATGTTCCTTGTTTCACCTTCTAGTGATCATTCTCGTATGCTAACATGGTATCACGCTTAGGTTAGGTCCCCCCGCCCACCTGCTTCCGCCCGCGCCCTAGCCTACGTGCCCTAGCTAATCCCCTCCCCCCTTAGCGCTAGGCCCCCGTCGCGCCCTCCAGGCCCCGTAGCACCCTCCTGGCCCCCGTCGCGCCCTACAGGCCTTGTAGCGCCCTCCTGGCTCCCGTCGCGCCCTCCAGGCCCCGTCGCCCCCTCCTGGCCCCCGTCGCGCCCTCCAGGCCCCGTAACGCCCTCCTGGCCCCGTCGCGCTCCCTAGGCCCCCGTTGCGCCCGCCTGGCCCCGTCGCGCCTGCCTGGCCTCTGTCGCGCCCGCCTGGCCCCGTCGCGCCCGCCTGGCCCCGTCGCACTCGCCTGGCCCCGTCGCGCCCGCCTGGCCCCGTCGCGCTCGCCTGGCCCCTCCGCGCCCGCCTGGCCCCGTCGCGCCCACCTGGCACCTCCGCGCCCGCCTGGCTCCGTCGCGCCCGGTTGGCCCCTCCGCGCCCGCGTGGCCACGTCGCGCCCTCCTGGCCCCTTCGCGCCCTCTTGGCTCAGGCGCGCTCGCCTGGCCCCACTGCGCCCGCCCGGCCTCTCCTAGCGCTGGCCCGCCCCCCCCCCTTCCTAGGGCTGCTCGGCCCCTCCTAGCGCTGGCCCGCCCCCCCCCCCCCCCTTCCTTGGGCCGCCCGGCCCCTCCTAGAGCTGGCCCGGCCCCTTCCTAGAGCCGCCCGGCCCTTTTCGCGCCCGCCAGGCTCCTAGCGCCCGCTCGGCCCCGCCGCGCCTCTCCGACTTCCAGTGCCAGTTCGGGCCCTGTCTCCTCTGCCCGCCTGCCCTGGAGCGCCTCGCGGCCGCCCTGCTGGAGAGTGCTGCCGCCGTGTCCCCGCTCCGCTGAGTTCCTGCGGAGCTTTGCCGCTGTGTCGCTGTGGAGCTGTGTCGCTAACCCTGCACGATGGCTGACTTTGTGCTCCGCCTGGACGTTGAGGGCCACGCGGTTGACTTCGCCGCCTGGCTCTCCGATCTCCGCCGCCACCTTACAGGTCAGCGCCAGGATGGCCACTCTTTGGTTGTCCATGTCGATGGCTTGCTCCCCCGCCCCCCTGCTCCTGCTCCCCTCTCTGCTGACCCCTCCCCTGATGACCGTGAGACCTTCTCTACTGCTGCGCTTGCCTGTGCAGTCTGGGACTCCCGCGATGCAGTAGCTCAGGTTGCTATTAGTCATGCCCTCCCTGTGTCTGAGCGCTTGCGTTTCGCTACGGCTGAAACGGCCAAAGCTTATTTAGACGCCGTTATTGCTCGCTATTCCACACCTGCATCCGCTTCTGCCGGCCGCTTGCTCTTCCCGATGCTGTTCCCAGACCTTGCT